TTAGTGCTCTCGATCCTAACACAAAGCAGGCGGTGGTGGTACCGTTAGTGCTTAGTGTGGCAGGTGGTGGTACCGTTAGTGCTTAGTGTGGCAGGCGGTGGTATCGTCCAACACTGACGGTAGTACTGTTAGTATCTCGAAAATCCAGGGATGAGATTTTTTAGCTCTATTTTTAAAGTCATTTGAGGCATATAAAAACTCTTCTCATTCTTGCTTGAGATAGCAAGAAAAGAGTATGAAAAAATTGTGATTATAAATGTGTAAACTTTATTGAAAGTGTTGAGTTCCATCCTCCTTAAACCTAGAAGTCATTCTAAGAGATATGTGAGGATTACTTCTAAAAAAGAGTTGTAAAGGTTCTCTCCGAAGCCTATGAAAAGGAGCAAAGAGTTGTAATAAGGGTAGTTGATCTTCACCCATTGAAAATAAGATCGTTAGTGAAAGCCGATGGTTTCGATAGAGGAGGAATTTAGTGAAAGCCAATGGCCTTGACTGAGGAAGAATCGGTAGTGGACGTAGGTCACGACGACCAAACCACTATAAATTCGGTATGTGTTTCCTTTTATGCTCTTTACTACTATTGCTTACTCATTTAATTGCTTACTACGCTTACTCATATTCTAAGTTAAACATATTTCCGATACCAATTTTATTGAATGAATTTTTATATTATTTCTCTATTTCAAAAGCACTAATTCATCCCCCCCCCCCCTCGCTCGACTCTGCAATCAATAGCATTAAAGTAATAATATTTTGACGCTAGAGAAAGGGCCAGAATGTTGCAAGAACGTCCGTTTAGAAACCATCTCAACGAGCACTCCAATGATGAAGCGCCACCCCCAACACATAACTCCTTCGAGCAAGGAGGGCAGCTACCCCCCTTCCCACAAGTAGATGCCTCCACCTCAGTGCAAACTCTAGAGTTCTACTGGCGCCTATTCAATGACTCTGGCCTTTCCCCACCGGGGTTGAATGTAGAGCACATGCTCATCCCTGTCGATGCCTTTCTAAGCCTCAACCATCAAGTATATACCCTCATTGGGATGATCCAAGCGATCGTCCCTCTCCTATCCTAGTTGGTCTATCAAGTGGCCCTGGCGAGCCCCCTACCTACACCCCTAGAGTGCCCCTAGCAAACTGAAGCAACTCATGAAGCACCAATGTCCTCAATAATGGAGTTTAGCATACCACCAAGGTACAGAACAACCTCACTTGAGTTAAAAACCCAATCCGCCGACTCAACGGAGAAGACACTTAAAGCTCAACTATGGATCATGAATCAATACTTGGATGAGATGCAACGAGAGCTCCAGCACTCGAATGGGGAGGTTTACGGCTTCACCTCAAGCACCTCTCCATTTGTCCAGGATATCCCGGTGGAACCCCTCCTAGCTAATTTTCGCCTTCTGACATTGGAGGTGTTTGATGACAACTCTAATCCAGTGGAGCAGACCATGACCTTCAGGGCCTATATGTCGCTATACAGCACGTCGGATGTCTTGATATGCTAGGCATTCCTTATGACATTAAGAGGGTCCGCACACCTCCGTGGTGTGTTGCTGACCGAATGTCACTGACGAATCATCCCACTGTGCAGCTATGCACATGCACCAACCGATGACCTCCACGGTCGCTGTGACACACGATTGTGTCCATAGATCCACTGCGTAGTCACTGGGAACCATGGTCTTCAGTGTTTAGTTAACATTGATTGGGACTAGCAAATGTCGTAGTAATATTGCTATAGTCGCGACACTACTATAATCGCCACAATTGCTCTTAGGAGTGACTCTATTGCTGCACATAATAGCATCATTATAATCATTGTAGCCGTTACAGGTAGCAGAGATGTTGCTACAATCGTTGCACACAATGACAAATACTATAATTGCTTATGACAATGACAGGTCGATCGTTGCAAGGCTGTTGCACCCCACGGTGCTTCCACTCTATACATACCAATTGCCCATGACTAGGTTGGTGACCACCGAAAGTCATCACTCTCAACAATACTATCGTCGACAATATGTTGTCACTAATGATCCATCGATCAAATACGAGGAACCTCATAGTGCTCACAAGCAAACGATATGACGGTCTATATAGAAAGTAGATTTATAATACAAATAGATCATTCAAGTATCATAAATCAAAATCGGATAACTCATTTTCACAAATAAAGGATGTTAATAAATAAATTTAAATATTTTTATGATCTAAAATATTTAATTTCAAACTGTAGTCTTGATACCGATTGTCAACATAAGAACCATAATATGTTACTATTATGAAAAAAAAATGTTAAAAATTAAAATCAAATAACCATAAATCAAATATATAATATATATATTTTTTAATATTACTTACAAAGCTTTTTATTTGATCCGTAAATATACCATCATCAAATTCAAAAGTTACAGTGATGTCGATCTGTAAAAAATACTAGACTCACCCTCTCCTCTCTTCCTATCCTTCATAGGATCACTATGAGCGATAGATTAGAAATAAAAGAGAGAGTAGAGAAGATCTATAATCTCTTAGAAACTGGTTAAGTTATTTTATCCCTAGGAGGTTATGCATTTTTATAAACAAGAATAGAGGATCTAAGATAAATAATTAAAAGAGTCATTCATATCAAGATTATCTTCTAAATAATCCTATCATAATTAAAGATAAGATCTTATAATCTTATACATTCAAAATTGAGAGAGAGAGAGAGAGAGAGAGAGAGAGAGAGAGAATGAAAGAATGAATGCTTCTAAACTACAATTTTGAAGAGATTAAATTGTTTTAGGTATTAAGGAGAAAACCCTTCCATATAAATTGTTTAGAGAATGAAAGAATGAATGCTTCTAAACTACATTTTTGAAGAGATTAAATTGTTTTAGGTATTAAGGAGAAAACCCTTCCATATAAGATATAGTTATTCAACTATATTATATAGCAATTTTTTAGCTGTTTACATAATACTGTTAAATTTTTTAGCTGTTTACATATAGTTATTCAACTATATTTATTCAACTCGAAGCTTATCTTGTCTCAAATATGATTAAATAATACCTGAATCCAAAAAGCTCATACTTTCTTTCTCCCATTATCCAAACATAATTCCATACCACAACATTATTATTTCTTGGGAAGTAATAAAGCTTTTCATAAAAGTGCATTGATGT